ATCGATGCACTGGCTATCTATTTCACATGTGGTAATGTGTACGAAACTAGAAACTCTGGGAATGCTTTTCACAGAAGGAAGGGTAAAAGATGGTATATTCACACAATAAATACCACGCAGCGATGAGACCAAGCTCTTTGTGATGACACACAGCAGTATGGATGTACTTCACAACCATAACATTGCACTGAGCAAGCCAGGCGCACGGAATACATCCTACGTTTCCATTTACGTAAGGTTAAACATTAGGCAGAGCTACTCATGTGTCAGAGGTGAGGATGACGGCTCCTCCTGGAGAGATGGCTGGATGGACTCAAGGGGAGTTTTGAGAGATCTGTATATTCAGTTTATTCATCTGACTACAGGTTCTGTATGTATGTGTGTCAGTGTGTGTGAAATTCATGATTTTTTCTATGCATATTATTCTTTAAAGTTTTTTGAAAATAGGTGTTAGAACACCTTTTGGGTCTCCTTTTCCTATCATTCTGGAAATTGTATCAGCCACAGCTAAGCATAAACCTGGGGTAACTATAATCTCTGGTCAGCAAATTGGTCTGACTCAAGGCCCACCAGCCATGAAACCTTGACTGGATAAGCTATTTACCCTCTGGGAGCTGTACTTTGCTTATCTGAGAGCAGGGTGGATGTGCGCTTCTAGCTTCAAAGTGTGGTGGAGAATACTGAGTGATGTCAGGTGCAGTTGAGGCACATGGGGTCAAAGAGAAATGTAAAAGTCAAGCTCAAGCAAACAACCTTTGAAAATTCCTTAGATGAAACTTAAGTCACTTTAATGCCCTTGAGACCCAAAGATCAGGAACAAGGAATTTACTTTTTTCCTTTTCTTTAGACTTCTGTTCTGGTCTTCCTTCCTGTGGGGCAATCTAGGATGGATTGGCTGGAATGGAAGTGGGAGAGAAGAGATGGGGGAATTGCTCACTCTCCTGATCTTTTTTACTAAAGGCACATAATTGACTCTGTATTAAATATGCCTTTTACAATGACCCTTAGTATGTGAAAGCACCAAAAATTATACCAATATTAAGGAAATGTAAGTTATTATTCATACATGGAACAGGGGTTTTCCCCAGGTTATTTTGATTCTAGAAAGCCCTTGTGGATAATGTCAAGGTTAAAAGGTCATTTAACCAAAACAGGGGTTTGCTTGATTCTTGATGGCATGTTGAGACAATAAGTAGAGAAAGAAGCTGAGGTTAACATTAGAGAGATAAATAACAATTTATTTCAACAGGGTAGTACCTTATAGTTGACAAAACTTCAATCATTTCTTTAAAATTAACCTCATTTTAAAGATGAGGTTTCACTTCTCAAGATCACACTAGTTTTACAGGAGAGCTGGGATTCATAACCAGAACTTCCAAGTTCAGAACCATAATATGGTGCAAACCCAGTCTCTATCTGTGTGTGTGTGTCTGTCTGTCTCTTAGGGGTGGAACAGAGAGGTAGGCCTGGGAACTTGTGATCTGGCTCTCCAGGGCTTATGTGGCCTTAACCACCTGTATGATCCTCCTGACCTTGCCATCTTTAGGTGAGATTCCCTAGATCAGTTAAGATAGTGAGGTGGGCAAGCAGAGTTCCTCTGGTGGTTGTGGTTCTCATCTCAGCAGAGACTTGTTGCCCACGATGGGGTTAAAAGTTCTTCCTGTGCATTCTGGTATGTGTGAGGTCTAGGAAATATTCTGCTAGGTGATACAGTTGGTTTCTGATGCTCCAGGGTGGGGCCAGGTTATCTCTTCAATGCATATATGCCTGCATCATGCTTATGCATGCATTTAACACATGCTTATCACTAGATAATCAAACCATTTGTAAAGACAAACCTTCGCCATTAAAGACATATGTTATGAGATACTTATGATACCACAATTCAAGTCTGGATTTATCCTGCTCACGGGAGTTGGGAGCCACAGTACATAGGACTTGCCTGTGCCTTACAGTCTTGCAAGTGTGTAGACCTTTTTAATGTGAATGGAGCCTTGCTCAACAGGCAAGGCCTTCCTGTACTTACTAGAAGAACCCAGAATTAGCCATTGCAAAGTGACTTAGGGAGGAGGGCAGGGGTGGGTTCAGGGGAGAATCTTTTCCAAGCCCTCACATCTAGGAGAGATATCACTCTTTCCAGTATGATCCTATTTCAGTCCTTACAATTTAAGTCATTCCATGCAGTTTCTTTGGGGACTCTCGGGTAGCAGCAGGAGGCCCCCTGGTGGCCTGAAATAGTTCACAAGCTAATGTTTTAAGCCTTTGAAAGGGCGGTGTAGCTAGAGAAGCACAAAGGTAGTAAATACCCACCTGGACCCGGCACATCCAGCAGGGTAGGACGGAGGAGGATGACTTATTCTGGGAGAGATGAGGACCAAAGAAATTTCTTTTAAGAGATTAAAACAAATGAACTCTAGTTCTGGATAAACCGCTCAACGGTCTCTGATTTTTATTCTTTAGTTCATTTAGCAAACACTTGCTGTTGAGTACCTAATCTGGGAAGGACATTTTATTAGGCATCACACAGGGGGTTCAAACGTATATGACACATTGTGTACTCCTAAGAAGCTTTGGAAGAGGATGCTACATTTATGGCATTATCGTGGTAGAAAATGAAAGCTATCAGAGACTGTAGAGGCAGAGGCTCGTGAAGAAGCAATTCCTTTCAGACAAACGGGAACCTCTAGGGAGAGGCTGCACTTAAGTTGGGGCTGCAATGAGAATCAGGGTTTGGGTATGTTTGAGCTGGAGAAGGAAAGGATGGCATCATGCAGGAGGGAAAACAGACGTTTGAATGTACATGGAGGCAAGAAACGTGAAGCCTGATCCAGGGATGTGGAGTCTTCTGGTCTGGCCACCTCATATGAGTTTTCAGGTTGAGAGTGAAACCTGGATACATCTGTTTGGATCAGACACAGCAGAACCTTGAACACTAGCCTGAGAAATTTCTTTATCAAGCAGTGGGGATTTTTTGGATGTCTTTGAACCAAAAATAAAAAAGAAGCAGCACATCAAAGCACAATATTCCTTCCACTGTCATTAACACAATGCCATACACTTTCATTTGTTCCAGAGGAGGGTGGACCTTCCTGTGTTTAAGATAATTGTAGTGTACTCCACTATACTGAACAACTCCAAACTTCTGCCACCGGACCTTCAAAGCCAGGAGAAACCAGGCCACCCAGGCGTCTCTCCCTAACAAAACCATCTGAGCTCCAGGGCGTGCTCAGTGACAAAGGGCTCCTGCCGTATTTAATTAAAGTCCTTGATAGAATGCTTTCCATCAAAAGTGCTAGGCTAGGCTTCCTTTGTTTTTCCAAGGTTTAGGAAAGGCTGTGTGTCTATCTTTCCCCTCTAGTTTAACCTGGTTTAAATGACATGAACCAGGGATATTTCTGGCTAGAGTTCTGCTGTAGAGTCCTAGCTGTTTAATATCCACAGAATTCAAGCAGCAATCTTATTTGCATTGCATTATAACTAACTCAGTTAAGCAGTCTGAGAAGCTACACAATGCCTGGCATATAGCTGGTGCTCAAAAATATGGTACCCAAATATTTAACCACAGATTCAATAAATATGCAGGACTTCCCTGGTGACTCAGATGGTAAAGAAACTGTATGCAGGACAAGAGACCTGGATTTGATTCCTGGGTCAAGAAGATCCCCTGGAGAAGGGAATGGCTACCCACTCCAATATTCTTGTCTGCAGAATTTCATGGATAGAAGAGCCTGGTGAGCTACAGTCCTTGGGGTCGCAAAGAATCAAACACAACTGAGCAACTAATACATATGTAATACATATGTAACAACATTATTATAAAATTTTTGACCCCAGGCTTTGATTTCCTAATTTTAATGACATAGAAATATTTTTAAATGACAGAATTCTTATTATTCTTCAAAAGGTATTAAAAAATGATGTGACAAATATAGAAATCATTGAGTTAGGTTAGGAAGAAGCAGCATTTGAGAGGAACACAGTTGAGATGTTTCCGAGGCAAGGGAAGAAGGGCAACTTGTAACTGCAGTAACATAACTACAGGAGAACTAAGCATTTGAGAAGTTTTAGCAGGTACTTCCCTCATGGTCCTGTGGCTAGGACTCCAAGCTCCCAGTGCACGGGGACTGGGTTCGATCCCTAGTCAGGGAATTAGATCCTGATTGCTGCAACTGAAAAGAACCTGTATGCAGCAATGAAAGTCAAAGATCCCCGCATGCTGCAATTGGGACCTGGTACAGTCAAAGAAGTAAGAAGTTTCAGCAGCAATGAGTATTTATTATTTTGAATGAACTGTACATGAAACTTAAAATTTTACATGAAATATAAAAATCATCAAAAGTGCTGTATAAGATTATTTTAATATTAATTTATCCCCCCATGTGATCTAGTAGCTACACATTTTACCTTTTTTAATGATCTGACACATCATTACAATCATGTAAGAACTGTCCAATGTTAAAGCATTAAAAAAAAAAATTAGTTTATTCCTCAAGAAAAGTACCACCAGTGATGCTTTACTGAAAATGAAAAATAAACAGATACCAGAGAATCAACTTTTTGGGAAAAAGAAATATCATAGAACTTCATGGGTGAATGCAAAGTCCAAAGCAGTTCAGAATCTCAGCAGAACAGTCTCGGGATATAACGTCCTAATAGTGCGGGTTATCTCCTTTGGAGGCAGGTCACTGGTGTGCCAGAACTCATCTTTTCCGGCCTATTTTCCAACAAAATGTCTAATGCCACGAACCTCCCATGACTCCTGAAATATTTAATACAGAGGAAACACTGATTTTCAGTCTTAGAATAGCCCTTGGAGTTAAGTTTGTCGTAGAAGAAGAAAGAAGTCATCACTCCCAGACGAGAGCCCCACGCGCCCTCCGCCGTGAGGCCACCCCGCGCCTCTGGTCCCTGCCAAGCGCATCCTCCCCACTGCGGTCCTGGGCGCCCTGGCTGACGAAGGTGACCTTCAGGTCCCGCGTCCTCGCTGGTCTCATTAGCTCCTAAGCAAACCAGCCCCGCTGATTCGCCACCAGAGTTGTCTGGCTCTCCCGCCTCTTGGCTTTCTTGCTCCTCTGCCTCACCTTCCAGCACAGAGCGCTGGACGCTAACAGGAAAAGTCCCAGGGACAGAAGGACCAGGCCCAAGATGGAGATGATGGAGCCGTGGGAGTTGAAGCTGTAGGCCACGGCAGTGACCACGGTCCCGGTGATGAGGACCACCACGGCGAAGGGGATGACGCAGCGGTAGCAGGACAGCTCGGCGCCCCCGGTGGCGGCCGCCAGCTGAATCTCACTGACCAGGGGTACCATGGTAACCACCACTTCGCCGTTGGCATTCTTTTCCATTGCCACGGGCTTGGGAGACTTCGGGGTTCCCAGGATCTCCTTTATGGGCTCGTCTGTCATTGTTACAGCGGCGTCTCCTAGCTGAGCTCACAGACTAGATCTGGGTGGTCTCATCAGGGCAAAAACTGTGGAGAAGACAGGAGATGTCAGTTGAATGCATTAGAGTGAGCCCCACAAGTAGCAGTAAAGAGTTGGGGAAACACCACTATGTTCTTTTCTTTTCTAGGAGACATGGATGCCTGTGAAAATCAACTTTAATATATTTTTCCCAAACTTTTGCATTCTCTTTGCATTGGGCAGAAAGTAAGATAAAGCAGAGAACCATAAAGAAAGGGAAGGTATAGAAGCAGGAAGCACTTTACAGTGCTTAATACTCTCTGGCAGTCTACAAATGTTTTACAAGCTTTTCTGCTTTGTCTATTGCTTTCTTTCCTCTAAACACAGAGAATCCTTAATCTTAATCCCAAAACAACCTCATTCAAGAGGAGAGCATGTTATAAACAACACTTTGCACAGTCCGTTCCACACTCACAGCAACCTAGAAGCTGCCAATATTTCCGGGCATAACATGCATTCTTTCCAAACTATCACCCATTCACTGTGCACCAAAGCAATGTCAAGACCAGCAGCCAGCATTTAAGTGATATTTTTCTGCATCAACTGACAGTCAACAAGTCTTCTTTGTTGTAACTATTAAATGCAATGAAGCAGGCATCCTGGGTCCATGGTGGGAGTGCAGTTTGGCAAAAATTCAGTGATAATAAGGCTAGGATTTATGATCTAAAATGTGGCAATATCCTTTGATCCATTTGAAAAGAGAAAAATAAGAAAAACAATTCAACAATTTTGTTGGAAATAATTTTGTGCTTTTTAATGTTAAAGAAGAGATCAACTATTAGAGTAATTAGCAGTTCATTTACAAATTTCCCATTAAATTCAACAAGGAATTTTGACATTATATGTACCACTTGTTTTAAAAAAATGAGCACACTGGATTTTCAATAAAGATTTACAAGCTCACTTTTACCCCATGTTCCAGTGTCCAAAAACTTCATGCAATTCATCTTTGTAAATATTTTGAACCTGAACATTTCAGAAGGAAATCTGAGACTCTCCATCAAGAATCTCTGGTTGAAATGCCATCTCTGAGAAAACAGCGGACACTCCTGTCTTGTTCAGGCATGGCACATCATTCTCTTTCACCCCTTGAGAAGTGATCTAGCGGCTAAATAGTTGAGTTATGCTTTAAATAGTTACAGTTATGCTTTAAATGAAAGCATTTAAAGGAAGATAGTGGAGATGATTTCAGTGAGATGACTACTTTGATCATATTAAGTACTCACTGAAAACTAATTCAACCTCAAAGTCAGACCTCACAGGTTCTTCCTTGCCCTGGGCAGGGGGGGGGGGGGGGTCAAAATATCACTCCTTGTCCACTGAACTAAAAATTAGAGATGTCTATTTGCATGAGACTTTCAGTCACCAAAATTAATCACTGCTGTTCAAGATACCTTAATGACTGGTTAGATCAATAAAAGGATATTTGAAATTCTGTCCAAAAGAAAAAAAAAAATTTCACCCCAAAGCTGAAACTTCAGCTAACTTTAAAATGAGGCTGTGTCCCCCAAAGGTTTATACTTACATGTACCTCAGAGAGAAGCAATCCATTACCAGGGAGACCCCTGGACTTGAGAGGGAAGGAACAGCAGCCTCTGAGCTTCTTCTTGGACTTCTGAGAAGGCAGCCTGTCACACCACTCTGTCAGTAAAGTGACGGGACAGAGATCTCTGGGGAGGAGAAAAGATATAAAATGCTGTGGGTTTTAGATCCTGAGCGCTTTCTTTCACTCTACCCCTTCCTAAATGACGCTTGTCTTTCCCTCTCTCTTTTTATTTCCTCCCCCGCCGGTTTGCTCCTCCCTGCCTTTTTTTTTTTTTTTTTTCTTCTTTCTTTTCCTTGCCAGCAGACTCTGAGTTTTGGCTTCCCCCAGCTCTGCTCGGTGACATGATAAGTCAGAATCATTTTAGAGTCCCCACAGACAGGAGGCAGCTTTTACTTTTATTTCTCTTGCAGCCTTTACTGAGCGCACTGCTTTGCATTACTCATTTTTTCCCCAGCCAGACTCCAAATCTTCCCCCGCCCAGCAGGCATTTTCACAAGAAAATCCCCGAGTCAGCGTTGCAGACCCAGCTGAGGGGACGGGGCCGAAGGGACAGACACTTTTAGGGCTGCGGGAACAGCTGTGAAGTCATCGGGCAGCTGAATCCAGCCTCTAAGCCAACAAAAATCTATGTTCCTAGGTTTCCCGAGTATTCTTTCTTCATGTATGTGTGGGCTGGACATCTGAAGCTTAATACCTCCCTCCCCCGCTCGCCTCACTGGATGATAATTCATTTAGGAATGAGGGTGGAAGATACAAATGTTTGTAGTTAAGGGTGAAAACCAGTCATTCTGATTCAAACATGATAACTGGGAAGTAATTAGTAGCTTTGGCAATACTGAAATCACCATCATGGCCATCTCTCATTTATAGAGCTCCTCCCATGGGCAGGGCACATGCAAGGTGCATGCATTAACACTAATGCTCACAACTTCACAAAGGAGTTTATAAACAGTTTATAATGAGGCTCAGAAATGTTAAGCAATCTGACAAATGTCATAGAGAGAGGGAAAAACTCTTGGTTTAACTCTAATCTTTAACAGGCACACTAATCATGTAAGGGGCTTGTTAAATGCAGATTCTGATTTAGTAGGTCGGTAGCTAGGTCCTGGCTGATGCTAATCTGTTGCTCCTTGACCCACTTTAAGGACGAAGATATTTTCAATATTCAAATACATATGACTAGATATATCATACTTTCAAACAATAAAGGTAAAGGTCTATTTCCCACCCCCTGTTGCCAAATGGGCTTTAAGCTACACATGAACTATTTAAAATTTGAAAGCCCACAGATTGTCTTTTGGAGTGAAAAATGAGATTTTTTGGAGCGAAAAATGAGATCATATGTCTTTTGGAGTGAAAAATGAGATCATACTGGGTGAGTCTTATAAGCTCATCCCTATACTTCTGTAGCTAAAAGTTAGCCATCTTCTATTTTTAGTCTATGCAACTTTTAATGCCTTACTTTCAACTGATACAGGTAACACTAAAATATAAGTTAAATCTTGAAGGAGGTTTGTTTTCCTTCTTTCTCTTGAGTAACATTTCTCCAGTTGCTGGTGGAGAGCATGGATGCTCTCAGGCACCTCACCTCTGTTGTATCAGAGCTCACTCTTTCCAGCGTAGTCTAGAAATAAGACCCCAGTGGTTTTGTCATAAAGGGAAAGGGGCTGGAAGTGCTCCTTCATTGAAAAGAAGTAAAGCTGGAAAGTTCTGGAAGCTTTGCTGAGTCAGGGAGCCCAGCCTGTTGAGGATGAGAATGACTGGTGGGCCTCAGCCACCGCTATCCTCAGACCTTAAAGATGTGAGTTGTAAAAGGGCACGGCCATCCTCCAGGAGGAGTGCTGTCCCTTGGGACTGGAGACCAGGGGTACTTAGAACCAGAGCATTTAAGCACTGGCCAGCAATGCCCTGGGAGGATGGGGATACTGGGGATTCTTGAGGAGCTCCGTATGCGAGCAGCGGTCTTTCCACTGCAAACTGTGACCTTTGAGGGCGATTCCTCTTTACTTTCTAGCAGGGACCTCTTCCCCCCTCCCCACAACATAATCCAATGACCCCACGGAAGCTCTGTATATCACCCTATCTTGTTGAAGACCATGCTTCCCCATTGTCAAAGTCAAAGATACATGATTTGAACTTCTCCCAGAAAGAAGCCAGAGGCACTCAGTAAGCTCGTGGCTGAATTTATAATGAGGGGCAGAGAGTGTATCTGTGTGCTGGGAGCAGGGTTGGTCTGTGTTGCTCCTAACACCCAAGCTCTCTTCAGCCTTTTCAAGCTTCAGAATTCTAATTCTTATTCACAGAGCTGCATCTGCCTGCACACACAGGTGCACGTCTTCAGATTCTAACAGCTGATGACTGGCACTGATTGATACAGAGAAGTAGAAAGTAGAAAGCTTTGGGATAAAGCAGAAATTGTATTTCAAGAACAGATACCTGGGGCTTCCCTGGATGTCCAATGGTTAAGACTTCCCCTTCCAATGCAGTGGGTAGAGGTTAGATCCCTCATTGGGGAGCCAAGATCCTACATGTCTGGAGGCCAAAAAACACAAAAAGCACATAAAATTAAAGCAATATTTTAAGAAATTCAACAAAGACTTTAAAATGATCCATATAAAAAACAATCTAGAAAAAAAGATGAAATGACTTAAAAAAAATGAAGAATAGATACCTATCATTACACCCAAGTACACCTGCAGTTTTAAATGACTTTTACCTCTTCAAATCAAAATTCAAAGAGAATTCCTAGTGATCAAAAGCCTTTGAATGACTTTTTCCTCCCTCCTCTCTGTGCCTATTAGAAATTAAACCCTCCTGAGAGTACCTTAAGAAACACCTGTCCCTGATGCAAAATCTCATCTATAAAGCAACTAGCCTTTTTTCTGCAAGCCTTTCCTCAGAAGGGAGAGGAAATCTTTCGATTCTTTTCAGACACAAGGCTCCAGGATATTTCTTTAAGCTTTGAGAGCTTTTCAGAAAGCTTCCAATTCATGAATTAAATCTACATCCTCCTACCCCACCTCACTCCTCCAAAGACTTCCACATTTCTCTTCCAGATCTTTCAAAAACCAGAGATCCTTACCTTTCCTAGCCAGAATTGGACTGAGACAGCTGCCAGCTCTGGCCTACAGCCACCCAGAGACGGGGATGCAAATCACTACACCAGGGACCGTAGGCAAAGTACTCAGCGAGTCTGAAACACAATCAAGGGACCGGAGAAAAACTGATGATGGGAAATTCCTTAAGTGCTGCGGTATTTTCTTCTCTGTTTCCCTCTATGAAAATGGAATCCATATAATTTTTTTTTTTTAAAAAGGGATCTAAGTTTGGACAGGGTGTCCTCCTTTGTTTTTCTTTCTTTGTGTCCTCATTCAGGCTTTCATTTTCAAGATTTTCC